CCTCTGTCCTCCTCCTCTTCGACATGTGCAGCGGTGCACTCTCCCTGGAGTCGCCATCCGACTCTTCTGCTGCTGGTGCCCCACGTCCTGAAGCGGACCTCCCGGGCCCTGTGCCTCGTGAGGCCCGTGCAGTGCCTCCTCTCACACATCCCGAAGCGGACCTCCCTCTGCCTCGCTGAGCACGATAGGCGAGGGGATCCCATACACGGTTGGGATGTGCTCAATGCCCGAATAGAGGCGACTGCCGAGCAACTACGTGGATGGGGCTGAGCAGCATGTCTGTCCTGTTCCTGATGTCCCTGAGAATGTCGTCTCACGGCTCTGTGGTAAGGGGGGCTGATCGGACGAAGCCGGGCAGTCGACACGCCATATCATAAATGCGTGACAAGCAGTGGACATCTCTGTCCACCGCGCGCAACACGTCATAGGGTCTCTTCATGACGGGAGTCAGCTTCCTGACGTCAGCCCCAGAAGGCCCTGTCAAGAACTGTTTCCTCTACGAAGAAGACCTTGGCCTTGATGTCCCCTCGCCACACCTGCGCCTCCCACTCCTGCCCTGCGACAATCCGTCTAATAGCCTTCTCGCAGACCTCCCGCCGCTGCAGCATCACGTAGTGCGTCCCAAACCTCGTCTGCGTCGGTTGGAGGAGGCAGCTGCATTTCAAGTCCGGGAACTTCACAAGTGTCGTTCTCAGCGTTGATCTGGGCCACCTGTGAACCCGGAAGAAATTGACCACTCTGTTCACCTTACTGATGTTCTCGGTCGCCAACTCCTTATTGCAAATGTCGTGCATGAGGAGGTCCATTCAGTGAGCGGTGCAAGGGATCCAATATATCTGGCTGAACTCAGGGTCCTCCCTCAACATCCTCGCAGCACTCGTGCTACTCGCAAAAGAGTCTGTGCAGATAGTCGTGATCTTCTCCACCCCCCACTCCCTGAAGAACCGCTTCCATCGGGCAACGACGGCTGTAGAGTCCTTGTCCCCCTCGCTAACATCCTCGCACTTGATAAAAACAGGCTTCGACCGACCTGTGAGGATGTAGTTTATAAGCGATCGACCACAAATGGCTGTGGTCCCATCGGTTATGAACGTGCAGCCTGTAACCTGCCAGACTGTCAATCGTCACGGCGATCCAGCAAACCGACACCTGAGAGGGTTGTACCCAGTAGGCACAAGAGGGCGTCTCGCTGCAGGTTATGGTCCATAACACGCCCGCGTGAACTTCTTGAAGCTCCTGCTCTTGGCAGTGTTGAACGGGATCGCATTCTCCACGAAGAACTCGCAGCAGGAGTCATCAATCTTCTCCTGTCTTGGGTTCTTTGCGTACCTCTTGATGCTCATCTACCTCCCTGGCCTGCGTGTGCGGGCGACCTGCATGACAACCTGCGAGAACCGAGGCCTTCCTCCACCGACGGATCCTCCTGTCACAACACCCCTCGTCCCCTCATCCAATCCCTCCTCGCCTTCCCCACCACGTGGCTCCTCAAGCTGATCAACAATCCCACCTCCCCCCCCTTTGCCAACAGGCCCAGCACCTGCCACTTCGGGAACATCGTCATCCCTCTCCTGCTCCAGCGCCATTTTCACCCTTACGAGAAAATCAGGTGGCAGTTGTGCACCGATGCGATGCAGCCTCTCCCAAATGGAGAGGTTCGAACCCGAACACCTGGCTAACGCCCTCGCTAGAATGAAGTGCTCCCATGCACACTTCCGGTTCCCTTTATAGTCCTTGTTGCAAATCTTGCAGCGCAGCCTTCTCGACCCCTGAGAATTGCCCAACAACATCTGCCAAAGAGTCACCCAACTCCACACCACGTGGTCCCTTGGGCATCATGTACTCCTTGAACGGTGTCGAGACTGGTGAGTCCCGAATGACTTCCTGTCGCTCAAGAGACTGTATATGGCCAATTTGTGCACGACAGAGAAAACAGGAGGCATGAAGGAGGGAAGGATCGAAGGCATAGGCACAGGCCCTAGGAACCTGGAGACTGCCCAAAGTCGTTGGGACCATTAAACCAAGAAGAAATCGGAGGAATGGGAGGCGGCAAAGGACCGCAAGAAAATGACAAAAGCGACCCTTCCCCCGAAAAGGAGAAGGACCGCCGAAAGAAGTAGCATTATGGGGCACACGCCACAAAGGAAAGAGGAAGCAGGAAGAGATAGTAAAGTGCCGACACGAGAAAATGTAGCCGGGCCGAGAGGGTTGCTGGGACGCAACGTCAAGGAGACCAAGGGACCACGGGCCAAGTGAGGACCGTACCTGGGGAAGACGGTGAGCGGGACACGAAAAGGACAAGGGAAAGGAGACCGTCATAAGGCGGAAAAATAACAAGAGTATCGACGGGACTAGGCAATAATGTGGTACTGGTGGGACAAAATGTCGGGGATCACATCGGACTAGGCAACAATGTGGTACCAGTGGGATAAAGTGTCGGGGACCACACGAGACTAGACAAAAATGCGGTACCGGTGGGACAAAGTGTCGGGGACCACGCGGGACTAGGACTAGTGTCGGGGACTAGTGTCGGGGACTAGTGTTGGGGACTAGTGTCGGGGACTAGTGTCAGGGACTAGTGCGGGACAAGTGGCGGGAACTGTGACGTCCCAAGAAAAAATTGCGGCATGACATGTGGTGCAAAAAAATCAAACAAGTGACACCGTCAAGGTCGGGGATCTTGACGGCCAAAAATATTAGCACCACTAGTGCAAGCCTAGGTAGCAAATCCGGATATCCGGCTGGCCATTTTATCCGGAATTTTCCATCCAGATGAAAATTCCGGATTAATT